TTATTAATTCTGAACTTCATGTGCCTGCCTAGCATAATATCTGATAACAAGTTCTTAAGAAATGTTTACTCAACAAGTGAGTGACTGAATGAATAAGCAATAAGCCTTCAGGATGTTAATTTCCTGCCTTTTTTTTTTTTTCAGCTGAGCCATCCTGCCACCTGTTGGCAACTCAGTGGCAGCTCAGCTCAGGCCGGGAATCAAACCGGCGACCCTGTTTCTCAGAGTCGCACTCGTGAGTGAGCTCTTAACCAACTGAGCCACTCGGTTGGCCCCCAATTTCCTGCTTTAAGAAGTTCTAGTATCCACTTTTACGGGCTGAATGGCTTTTGTCTTAAAATCCACTCACTTATGTAAAATTTCTGGGCAAAACTAGTTATAAAATTTTCTATAAAAAGTGAATCTTATGGGAAGCAAATTCAGCTGAATGAGCATTGATTGAATACCTACTGGAAGATCTACCTGAGGGGGATGCAAAATTATCCCCCCCCCCAAAAAAAAATCACATCAGTCTTTAGAACAGGGAAATTGTTGTCATACAGTTGAAATGTTATCATCTTCAAAAGAAACAGAAATTCCTATTTGACTTCCAGTACTGTCCACAGTGGGAAAATTTAATTCCCAATTACTTTTAAAATATCTATATAGTTAAGAAAAATGTATGAAAAGTAAAATAATCTCCCTCCTACCTCCAATCTTCACCCTGTTTCCAAACCTCCTGTAGATAACTACTTTTCTTATGTATCTTTCCAGAGTTTTTTTTTTATGACAATTTTTAATTGTAGAAATGGGATAGAATATTATACAAGCAGTAAACACATTCCAGAAAGGTAAAGAAAGGGTTAGAGATATCCAATAGTCCCTGGTTCACAGCAATTCTGAAATATTGAAATTTTGCCGGGCAGATATTGCGAACAATTTTCCCAAGCCTGGGAGTGGGAATCTGCTCCTATATAAGGCCTGATATGCCCTCTGGGAGGAGTTCCTTGTTCATTGTTCTTTGAGGCTCTAAGAGTTTCTTCTGGTTTTCAAGATGTTTCTTAGCCATGTCTAAGTGGCTGTTCTAGAATACGAGTATGCTCTCATCATGGCTGTGCAGAGATTTGTTTTAAAGGCATAAACAAATATTTATATAACCCCCCCCCCTTTTCCATTAGCGGTAACATACTATAACCACTGTTCTACATCTTGATTTTTTCCCCTTTTAACAATATGCTTTAGAGATATTTTAACATTAGTATGTAAACAGCTTTTATTCTTTTTTATAGCTGCATAGTATTCCACTATAGGTGCACCACAATTTATTTAACCAATTCCCTACTGACAGACATTTGGGTTGATTCCAATTTCTTATTACTACATATAGTGCTGCAAAAAAAAACTTTATAGATTATGTTGCTGTACTTAAGTGCAAGTATTATCTTAAGGAACTACTTAAGAACTGGAACTACTGAGGCAAAGTGTACATGCATTTATAATTTTGACAGATGCTGTCTTCTTGCCCACTACTCCAATTTGTAGCCCAACCAGAATATACAAAAATGGGCCATTCATCATCGTGGATTTTATGGTATTAAATCACTGTGGCCCTTTCTGTGAATCAGATGTATCAGGATTAAGTGACTACCAAATACTAAATTATTAACTGAAAAGAGGTCAAGATTATGTTTCCTTTTGGTGGGGGGGTGGGGCAGGGGTGTCAGATTGACTAGGAGGAGTCACAAAGGGTGGCACTGGTTATATGTGCCAACTTACTGTCTCTTAATTCCAAATCCACCTTTCTTTGCCCAACTTTGTGACACTGAATTGGATCCTGTAAACATTTTTCCTTTGGAACATTAGACTTTTTCAACTGAGGGCACTGGAGTAACACTGCAAGGCTATTGTGTCAGGAAGACACCTTCTTTCCAGGTTCCAGCTTCCATTGTGACCATTCAGCATGGGAGCCCAGCAGCCCATGCGGATGTCTAGTTGTACCCTCAGGCTTCTATCTCCCTACCAGCGCAGCTTCTACAGACCAGCTTCACCTACGCTGTCAAGTTCCTCTGTCACTCCTCAGGGTACCATGGTAGTCACTCATCTTCCAAAGGGTCTGCATCAGCCTTGGGGGCAAAGAGGCCTTCCCTTTGTCCTTTGTTCCCTTATTGTCTGCTCTCCCTCAGCCTAGAGGTAGCAGCTGCTTTCATTGCCCCTGCTACTTTTTTTTTTTTAAAGGTTTTTATTGGGAAATTGGGGG